ATTCATGCACATGTATTAAATTTAATAACTGATTATGGAAAAAGACCACACAAAATTAATATTTTTCAGAGAAGTGCAATATGCTATACGTAATTGAAGATTCAATTCAGGCTACTCCACACATAGTATCACTGGAGGAAAAATGGAAAGGAACCCGGCTGCAATACTTTACTGCTAATAATTCAATCAATTGAGAGAAATCCAACACCCAATGCAGTGTGGATTATGGGAAATGGAAAATCATAAGAATTGTATACTGCATGTGTTATTTTAGACAAGGAACATCATATTCAGTAGCATCACTACATAGTAATAAGCTACGCATAGCCCAAAACAGGAGACATAAACAGTAAAGAAGGCGCACAGACAAGTATCCTGGGAGGGATACATGTATAACTGTTAATGGCAAAAAATCTACAGAACATGTTAGGCCTGTGAAGATTTCTCCACGCCCCTAGTTTCTCATTTCACCTCTCATTTCCACCTACCATTTCTCAAAGTAGGGTTACTTTACTCCTATAGCAGAAAGACAGCAGAAACTATAATAATCCTGAAATTTGGTTCACACCTTCCCCCTTCTCTCAAGGCCACTTTTTTTTTCTTCTAATTCTCTCTATTCATTTGCAGGTTTCGTTTCACACCTTTCCTCACCTCTCTCAACATCGCACCACTTGATTGGCCACTGCCTCTCCCCTGCTCCTGCCTCCTGCTCTCTCCTGGCTTCTGTTTTCCCATGCTACATTACAGTATTTTTGCTGACTGCCCTATCTTACTTACACCCGAAGAAGGCTCCACAGCTGAAACATTGTGTTTTCTTTCTTCTCTTTTCAGCATGAAATAAACCTATTACTTGTTACTTTGCCAAAAAATTGGCAAAGTAACAATTTTTGGCAAAAGTTACTCAGCCTGCGCATGCCAACACAGATACTCACCTGAACTACAACAATCTACAGTACAACAATGCCTCCAGTGACAAAGATTATTATTCCATTTAAAAAAAAAACAATAATATGATGAAAATAACCAAATTTGCTCAATAAAGCCCTGACAAGCATTACAAAATATCACTGTATTTTCTATTTCAGAACCGCAATATCTGAGCATCAGGTTTTGGATTTTGTTCAAGTGTTTCTTTAAATTAAGGAAAGATGCTGATTTGTATTGCAATTATAATGAATTAAATATGAGCTATTTCAGGACACATTCTCTGACAATCAAAACCTGTATTAAATGTGAATTATATCATTTTTAACATTGTGCACATTCTAAGGTTTCTAGAGAATAAATATTTTAAATATTTAAATCTCCTTTAAAGATGAAAATCTCCTAAATGCGAGCTACTTTTGTAATTCATGAGCTAAAGAGTGTCAGCAGAAAATAGACATGAAAACAAAGCATATATGTAAAACCAGTCCAGAGTTGATCCTAAGGGAAAAGCAAATCATCAAAGAACCAGGTAATTAAGTGCTTATGCTAGAAATATTAGGAACAAAATAAGAGATAGAAGCTACTGCATTAGCATGTGATTATGGTGTAATTGGAATCACAGAAGCATGGGTGAGTGATGGAGATGAATATAGCATTACTGGATGCACAGCATGCCAAAGAGACAGGAAAGATTGAAGAGGTGGGGGTATAGTACTACACATCAGAAACAGTATTCAGAACAGTAAGTTAACCGCTGTTTGGCATAAACAGGGGATGAAGGAACATTAAACAACACCTATTTTCACTCCTTTCCTGAGAAGCCATGGTCCAAATCTGTCTTTAAAATATCTTTAATTTTAGAAGGGGGAAGTCCTAAAGAAATAAAATGATGGTCTGTAAAATCCAGCCTTTAGAATCAGGGTTTCGTTTGAGTATACAATATATGAGAGACATTGAGGAGGGTAACCAGAGGAAGGAAGAAAAATTGTTACAGACATACTTGTAGATCTGCAGATAATGAAAATGTCTTAGGGACATGAAATGTTTGAGACAGTTTGACTATGCCAAATTATTGTCCAAGATACTTTTATTACTTTGATCTTTTGTTTTAATCCTTTTTTCTTTTTTCCAATCCAAATCTTTTTTTGTGCTGTGTATGGGTATTTGTCCTGCACTGCCATATATTTTTTGTCTGTGCGTGATAATAAAATCCATTTATTTTTTAATAAAGTAATTTAATATAGATTAATCAAGGGTCTCAGAAATTGTGGGTCAAACTTAAAAAAAACATTCAAAATCAACATTACGAGCATACTACATATTAGCAAATTCAGAAATCGATTCTACACCAATCTTATAGAATGGAATCAGAAATATAAGTAAAGGAAGAAGTGGTTATCAGAAAAAATGGTACAAATCAATATGGGTGTTTGTATCTGAACTAGAAATGGTAGACAAAGATAACGACTACTTTCTTTCTTAGTGTATCACATAAAATTCTAGAGGAAATGTCTGTGTTGATCTAGTTTATTCAAAACCCAAGTCAAAGTAAGGAAAACATGTAAGAGTTGATCCCAAAATATAGGAGACAGTGTATGCAAAAGGACACTTATTTTGAAATCAAATTCAAGCATTTGCTTTAATAATGCCATGACTGTAATTAAGGAAAGAAAAAACAATCTTAATGCAGTATTTTTCAGAACCCTACTACTTACTCTTAGCGTTTATGAGTATGGACAAGGTTAATAAAGACAAGGGAAGTGCTTTTCCAATTTCTATCGGCATACCACTTCCCGCTCCTGGACCTGTTCACTATTTCTACCACTGTTCAGTGATCTTCTGAAGTTTTTTTTTTTCTGTAACTGAACACAGACCCAGCAGACTGCACAAAGAACAGGATTTCCTCCTGGCGAGTGTGCCGTTTACATTTAAAAGTGACAAAAAACACCTGCTGTCTTGGGAAACAATAACTATGTGGTGTTCTCAAGATAATTCAGCTATTTCCCAGAGCCAATGCCCTGACTGGTAAGGTTATCACTGAGTTTTTGGTAAAGAAATCAAAATCAGATGGATGTAGCTCAACTTTTGCTATAAATGGCCTCTCTCTGTGTGTAGACATTTGATGCTCCTGCTTCACAAGTTAACTCTGTATGTATATTGAATCAAAATGAGATAGTAAGTACAGAAGAGGTTTTTTTTTATTCTTTGAATGGCACATATAAAGCAACATTATATATACCAATTATGATCACATTAATGGCCAAACAGAAATAATAATCAAACAAAGTAAGATATTCAGATATAAGATATTCCCATTCCACAGGTATACGTTAAATGCATTACTACAATTACAATTTAATAACAATCAATAGTTTAATGAAATTCAAATTAGAATACACATGCCTTTTCTGTCTTATTGCAGAAATTTGGAAGAGATCCAGCTCAGGAGAACAGTTGATCGCACTATAACTAACATTCAATTGCTTTGGGTTATTAAATTTTTGTAATGAAAAATGAATGATATAAAATAGCATCTCCTTAATTAAGGGAGATGATGAAAATTACCCACCAGATAAAATAACCAAGTTCTCAATGCGGAAACAAAGTGATTTAAGGCCACAACAGATTTCTTGTAGGAACAAACCTGCTATCTAAGCTTTTTGTTTCTTCTGTAAAAATGAAATGAAAGCATGGAGGCCAGGTGTATTGAACTTAACACTGACATCCTTGGTTTGGTATCTAAGCTATATCTTAATCCTGAATCCTCCATAAATATGGTTTAAGACATATAAGTCAGATAATAATGTAAACACAATGTTACATTTCTGACACCCTGGGGAACAGGGATACTGTATATAGGATATACAGTTCACACAAAAGGTTACATATACTGTACTAAAATAAATGTTACATGATGCAGATACTACAAAAACAGAATTGAAATAACTTTAAAAGCAGAATAATGCTTTACTTTAGGAAAATGCAAATGTGCAGTAAGCTGTATTAAACTTACATAGTGGTAATGTGGTTTAAGATATCAAAACAAAAAGCCTACTGAAAAGAAATGGGGCACTGAATAAACACAATGTAACATAACTTTGATAATTTAAAAATGCCATTAAGGTTTTTTTGTTGAGTTTTGTGTTTTTGCCAAATAAGCAGATGTCACGCTTTTCTCTGTGAAGTGGTAGGGTACTCATTGTTATCTGAATCCCCATCATGTGATTATACACTTCCTGCTGACTTATTTTCTGTTCCTGTGTGATCTAAATTGATCCAGCAGCTTTTTAAACTTTGTTGACCTCCTAGACTCTTTAGAACTGTACCCATATTATGTATACAGGTATATCTGATAAAACATGTTATGTGATGGGATGTTTTATTAAGTTGTTTTGTAGTTTTAGGGATATAGTGATAAATCCATATTTATTCTCTTCCACACAAGCATTAACAATCAAACTGAGAGTGCCCGGGTGTACAAGTCATATGCAATTCTTGCCAACAAAGGTCAATTTCTCAATTCAAAATTTACATTCTTCAGATCTCTGTATAAGAATACTCAAAATCAAAGTGTACACAGTCCCTTAATATGTAAATAAGTAAAATAAATCCTTAGATCTCTTACAAAATCCTGCTTTCTGAGAGTCAAAAGGGTAATTGATTAAAAAGGAAGAACAAAAATTAATTTGAGGAAAAATCTAAGGATTAGAATGAAATGTTACACCTTTGAGTTACATTACTGTAGTACTTTAGTGACTGCATTTCACTATTATTTAACCAAAGAAATGTTATACTGTATGCATCAAAGTACCAAGCCATGCTATCATATTGAGTGATTTCCTATGGTCTTGTGCTTGTGTCATCTTAATGCTGAAATGCTGATTCAGAGCAGACATCCTCATCAACAAAGGAATTTCTGAAGTAGAAAAAAACGTGGAGGTGCTGGATAGGAAATCATATGAACTGAATTCTATTGAAGTTTTATTGGCAGATAGTAAGAAAGCAATGCCTGCTAGGAAATCTACCAATGCCAACAGACAATAAAAGATTTAAAAACACAGTGCACGTTTTACCGGATTCAGTAGAACTGTTAGAAAGAGCTCCCCTCCTTTAATGCTCTTGTCCAGCTCTTTGGGGCCCCCAGGATACTCCTTGTAGAATATTGTGTGGGTGAACAAGCCACATGTTTGACGGGGAAGTACCTGTTAAAAAACAATAATCATCATTTCCTCGAAAAATTGTTTCTTATTAATTAAATCATCAAGCCTACATTTTTTATTCTGAAGCAAACATAAATGAAATTGATTAGATCCTTGGAAAAAATCGGTTACCATATTGTTTTTGAAAAAAATGCGGTATTCCACAGGAAAAAATGCAGGAAAAATCATTTACAAATTGGGATTATGATTATTTATTTATTCTGCTTGGTTTATTCTATCGGTCATTGTCTGATATTTCTCCATTTTCGTAAACGTGTATTTGTAATAGTATTTTAACGCAGAATTATTTATACAGTATTGTACTGTTTCTACTTTCCTTTGAGTGAAAGGTAAAGTTTCAGAGGAAGCAGCTGTGTTTATTTGGTACTGTTACTATACACAGCATAGTCTCTTGTCAGTCTTATTTGGACAAGTAATAAAAAAGCTGAAGATAATAATGTAAATTCCCACTGCTGAAAGGCATAAAGACATAAACATGCACCAAAGTCACACATCATCTACAAGTCATAACATGCAGTAAAACACTAATGATAACTACTAATGCTTTGGTTTAATAATTATTGAGGCAAGAAGAATTGTCACATCTGTACTTAATTTGCTCATGCTGCTCTTTAGATTAAAATGTATTCTGAGGCTCTTATAGAAACATTTCAAAACAGAACGCCCCCTCTCCCACACACGCCAACCCTTTCGATTTCTCTCTTGAGAACCCTTCTATTTTCATTTTCCATACAACACTATTTTCATCACACATCTGCTATCCCCATGGAGGAGACCTTTTGTATCTATATAATAGGATGTCATAAAACTGAGAATTAAGCATAAAAGCAGTCATAGCTTTTGGGGATTGTGTCTCACAATCCTCTGAGAGAAGCTGTCAAAAACTAGTTATGGTAGTTCCAGACTATACTCTGGGGCTATGAACATCTAGTGTTTCATATATGCAATCTATCTACTCAAATGCAGGTATATTGCACGCTATTTCTCAGCTCTAGAGGGGTTTCTAAAATTAAGCCAAATTTGCCACACAGTACTGTTTACATGTATATGGGGAGCCAAGAGTGGCTCTTTTCTATGAAACTTGAGAGATTCCTCTGATATGATGCGTGACTGATCATTATGTAGAGGGCATTGAGGGTGCTGCCTTATTGCTCTTTTATTTCTGAACAAAATTATAAGAAAATAAAATTACTGTTTTTTAAAGCATGCCTCACATTTGTTTGCTTATAATAACATTTCTCTTATTTCACCAATTAAATTCCTGTCAAAGTAAATGTATTAACATTAATGATCCTGGGCAGGTTGGCAGCAGGTGTGACACCAGTGTAGCCTTTGTTAGCCACAGTTTGATGTCCCTATAGCACTTGCACAGTGGTGAGCTCGGAGCTGTCAGCATTATGCTACTGTATATGTGTATGTTTCCAGTGGATTCTAGGATGTTGATCTCTGCAACCTGTCACATGCACAATGATGATTTCGAACTCTGAGAACTGTTATCAATGCACTCTGGGGGAGTGTTGTTTATGTTCCCAGTGCAGAGCGAGACAGAAACACTGTTACAACCCAGGCAGTGAAAACCACCTTATATTCCACTGCATGGTTCTTCACAACATTGCAGATTATAAACAGCATCAATATATTGTTTACAAATCTGTATGCAGGACTCAGTTTCATAGATAAACTGTGAAAAATTAGTACTCCATCTGCCTGATTAGACACGGGAGAAGTGTGGAAAAGGCAGGAATATGCTGTTTTAAGTTGGCAACATGATGGAACTAGCAAAAACAGCACTCTAGCTCACCCTCCCTTGGTTGCTATTTTGATTTTGCAGAGTCTTTAGGAAGACAATAAACATAAATCCTACATCGTAATAAAAAAACACCTTAACACTACAGAAAAATAATAATTAAATCATTATAAAATACATTCTGGTTTAAGACTAGATTATAAGTTAAATACATTTGCAAACTTTAAACACAATAATATTAATAATTAATAAATACAAAAATTTAATAATTAAAAAGAACACAGATATTGCATTAAATATAATGTTTTATATATATACACACTGAGAAAGACAGACTGAAATTGATACTTCTTATGACCTTAATTCATCATCTCAAAGTTTCTCCAGAAACCTTTTTGTTGTAAGTCATTACTGGATATACAGTACCCACAGCTCTTAATGACAACCTGGCCTTTGCCATCTCCCTTCGTACGTAAGGAACAAAATCAACAAAATAAGGAATGGTTTCAGAGACTTTTCCACTGCTGAGCCACACAGTGCACTGACATTAGAACTGAAAGATAGGGATGCATTAAAAACACAATCTATCAGAAAATGGCAGGACAAAAAATGTTTTTGGCATGTTGGCATTTTCACTAACTGTGAAAAGAAGCACATGCATCATATCCCGGTATTCAATTTTAGCTGCTCAAGATCATATCACCTAACATACAGGTTTGAATCAGCTGTAGAAAATAAAATGTGTCTTGAAAAACAAAAGGACTGTAAAACAAAAATATAAAAGTAAACGTACAATTTGTATACAAATTTTGCAAAAGCAAATGTAAAATAAAACACTTCCAATGCTTTTTTCTCACTGATGGATTACTGGTTTTTGTCCCAATAATGCTGCCATAATTTCAAGTGTTGATTAATTTAACAGGGAACTTATTGGATTTGGGGAAAAGAAGTGGTATATATGTCTTTTGTTCACACTGGATTACATGATTTGGTTTTGTTGCATCTTTATTCCTTTTTTCTCTAAAAAGGACTATACAAATACCAGAAATATTTATCCTAGTAGTTTGCCAGAACTGATGAGGCATGCTTTAGAATGAAATCTATGTACTTTTCTTTATCAGTGGATAAATAGTCAAGCAGCTGCAGGTTTTAAGTAAAAACCCAATTTTGAATGCACAGATTGGTACAGAAAGATAAACACAATATGTGGTGGTGCTACTCACAAAAATCTAAGCTTCATAGTTATACATTTGTCTTGTTTATTATGTTGAAAACTGTCAGGCATCCAAAACAATAATTATAAGATTTAAATTCAGAGTGTCTGAGCCCCCCAATGATTTTTGTAAGTCCTGTCTGTTTCCTGTCAGTGATTATTTCCCATTTGTCAGCTTAAACTCATGTCTGTAGGGCAGAGAGCAAAAATATTTGCAATTGTACTGTATTATCTTCCTTTTCAGTGTCTAGTAAGCTTCTCATTGGCAACATTTTAAGGAACCAAATTTCAAAACTTTTGTGAGATATATAACAGTTTCAAAACACACTAACCAATTCCAAATCATCTTTTTCTTTAACATTTTAGGACCCTTTCATAAATGGAACAGTTCATTTTACAATGCAAACCAAAATATGGTAAATTTTATTGGTAGACTAAATTTTCATTTTATGGTTCCAGCAATGTGCCAGTGGCAAGAAGAACCATTGCAGCTTAATAATTGGGCAGCTTCCTTTATTATAATTGCAATGCCTGCAGAGGGAATGTATTATCAAAACCAGGAAGCTTCAAAAACATTATAATAAATAGGCCTTTGGAAGAATAGGTGAAAGCAAGATAATTGTGTACTGTAGCCTGCAGCCACTCCACATGTACTTTCAGGTACTGTAGGAAGTAAAAAAAAACAGTTATAATACTCACATAATAATATTGTGATTTTAAAATACCTCTTTACTCTTTACTTTGGTTTTGCAGAACTACTACATGACACAAATTCTAATATATTTCTATAACCACAGGAGAATAAACTTAGGATAATTGTGCAGTGAGGAACTAGAGTAGAATGCAGATGGCCATACGAGGTTGCTTCTTACACAATGTGATTAGATACACGGTCCTGGAAACCTGTAAAATCCTTCTACAGCAGCTTAACATTTCTTTCTCATTGACAGAGTCCCCTGCGGGGAAGATTTTTTTTCTCAAATACATCTAATTTCTCTCTCCGAATGCAGCACCTCATGCTCTTTCTCTATTGCACCTCAAAGTCTAACTTTTTTTATTGGTTCTTTGTTTTGCTTAAAATTCCTGAGCGCATTTTGCTGACTGTTAATATTCAATTTGAGTTGCGCTGGGATCGTGAGACAAAAGAAACTTTACATTGCTGGCTCTGCCCGCATGATTGATAAAAGGTAAAGCAGGAAATCCCCAGGACGTGGCTTTGATTTAATATTTTAATCTCCTTTATGCCCTAAAATTCAATTTCATGCAAAACTCACTAAATCATTCATAGCACATGCACGCTTGAGATTTATTAAAGTGTTCTGGCTGTTTCTCTTTTTCAAATGATATTTTAGAAATACTTTGACTCCCTTTTAAAATGGGAAATGAGGCCTGGTTCTTGTTTTTTCAAGTTTTTTCTCCTTGTTTTTTGCTCAAAGAGCCAGACTGGCATATCTCTGGATTTCTAGTCAGGCAGCTCAAACAAATCCATTATTTGCCAAATATACTGTACTTGCTTATTAGGGTGAACAATAGTCCTTGATACTTAGTCAAAATTGTGCTTTATTATATGACTTACTTTATTACAATTCTTAAAATTTCATCCACCCATTTTCTAACAGCTTTATCCAGTACAGAGTTGTAGCAGAGCCAGGAGCCTATACCAGCAAGCAACAGGCACAAGGTATGATACACCCTTTATGGGAGGCCAATCCATTGCCGGACACAAACACACACACCCTTGCACAAGGGCCAGTTTTCCCAGAAACTAATTAACCTACCAGTATGTCTTTGGACATTCAATATAGAACTAGCAGAGAAGGCATGGCTACTTTAAAAATCATATTACTAGAATTAACAGAAAAGACAAACTATAATTAAGTACATCAGGTCCTACACAAAGTTCACGTTTAATGGGTTTAAGTGGTACCACTTCTAATGTACCCTTAAGCAATGTACTTTATACAACTTTATGCCAACATAGCTGTTTAAAGGCAATAGGAATTTCTGCAATTTCCTTTGCAT